CCGCCGCCCGGTGGCGAAGTCGCCGATGCAGAGCACCGGTCGGCGGAAGTCGCTCCCGTCGTGCTGCCATGGCGGCGCGTGGGCCGCGTTGCTGGCGGTGGCGCCGGCCGCGCCGGGCTCGTCGTCGGTCACGTACGCCCAGGGGGTGGACGCCGCCGTCGTGCCTTGGGACGGCGGCGGAAACACCATGCACCCGCCGCCGTGGGGCGCGACAAATTGGCCGGGCGCTCCGACGTGCAGCGGGTAGAAGCGTGTCGGCGCCGTCATGTTGTTGGCCGTGACAAACGGCGCGCCGTTCTTGGTGACAAAGGCCACGCTCACAATTTCCCCGTCGACGAGCGTCTTGCGCGAGTAGTGCTGCAGGGAGATGGACGCCGGCGCCGGGTGCTCGACGCGGACCGAGTCGTAGGCAGGCGACGACTGCTGGAGTCCGCTGCTCGGCGGCAGATGGGAGCTGAGGGAGGCAGAGTCGGATCTGTGGCGACAAAAAGTAAGTAGATGTGTTGGGCAACGAGAATAGCTAATTGGGATCTCTGGCTGGGTACGGTGGGCTTACTGCGACGGTCTGGATTCCGCGTTGGATTCTGCGACAGCAGGAACCAGCAGTGAGGTAGAGCTTTGTCCCATCTGGCTCTGCAGTTGGTCAAGGAATTCTGATATGGCTGGTAGCAGAGTAGACGACTCTGCTTCGTCGGAGCTCGAATTTGACAGCCGCAACCGAAGACGTAGCACGTCCTCGAGAAGTTGTGTGGACTCATACGCAGGCAATTCGGACTCGCTCGCTGCCTCTGGGGCGGGTTGCAGCGAAGGGCCTCTAGAAACGTACGATTAGTATTACCAAAGCAACGCCAAAAAGTAGTTCGCATAGGACTCACAAAAGCATGGCATCGAGGCCAAGGTTCAAGGCCGCCGTGCAAATACTGGCCGTCGCCGTCACCATGCTCAGCTGCGCGGCGAGCTGTTCCGTCGAGATGCCGTCCTGCTCGGGGCCCGCGCTCGCGGCGCTCAACGTCTCGAGCAGACGCGGAAGACCAGACACGAGCCGCCCAGCTTGCTGCACCACGGCGACGAGGCGATGCAGCACGGCCCTCGGCAGCAGCAGCAGCGTCTCCTCATCCCCGTCATCGGCGCCGACGACGGCACGGCAGCGGCGGATATACAGCCGAGCGACGGTCTGCATCTCCACCAGCTCGCGCGACAGCGGAACGACGGCGGCGCGCCGCTGCGCATCGGCGAGCAGGTACTCCCGGAGCTTGTTGTTGGCGGCCGCGGCGGACTCCTGTAGCGAGGCGCAGAGCGGCCCCAGCTCGCGCGGCGGCTGGTCGGGATGTCGCCGGACCTCGCCGTCCGGGGTGCGCACGGCGGTGGCTACTTCATTGTCCACGTTTTCCAAACTCTCGCCCGCGGCGGTCGCTGGCATAGCTGGCAAAGTCGAGAAGCTGGTGTGGTTGACACTTGAATCCCGCGACTACATCTTTTTCCTAGTTCCTACTATTCCTCGTGACAACATTCCTATCACTACATAGGCTCCACCAATCACAATTCTCCCGCGGTTTTGCCTGTCCTAGGTCATCTTCCTACCTCTCAAGTCCATCGTGGAGGAGTTGTCGCGCACTTTGCTCGTCTCATCCTATCGTTCTCAAGTGGTTATTCGCGCCCGCTTCATTTCATTACTGCTTTATCCACTTCAACTTGCCCGATTGATGATGGCGGGGGGAGACACTATAGCGTCCCCACAAACCGACCTTGATGAGGATCACCGGAACAGCTTCATCAAAGCACTCCTTCGCATATTGCATACAGAAGTTGCAGAGCTTACGTACGCTGAGATACTAGATGGACTCCCTACCTCTGCTTCCTACTTTGACTTTTTCTATAAACAGGAGGGGCATCCGGCAATTAACCACACAGAGCTTTGTCCAGGCGTCCTGAATCGTACCTATCAGCTTCGCGATCAGTTTGACCTAACAACGCTACATTTCCCCTCCTCTGTAAGTCAGAATCCTTACTAAGATCCAATATAGCTAGTGTCAACTTACACACTAGCGTAGCTCCTATCATCCTTCCAAGCCACCCAACTAGGCACAAGGGGGTTCTTACTAAGACTCCTCGAGCTTCTGGCTGTGTCATGCCACCAGATCGCCGTGTATATATTCCAGCGGGGGGAGTCCCGTCACCATGAAGAATACGAACGATGGCGCGACGAGCCTCGGGAGCGGAACCAATGGGACTGGTACCGCGGGCCCTCTGCGTTTTGCCACCGATCATATCTTGCGAGTGAGCAGTACCCAAATGGTGTTGCGGATGTGGTAGGCTACTGGGCTGAAGCAAGGATATTTGGCGGCGTTGTTGTGTTTGATAGAGGCGAGACAGACACCGAGGTAAGTATCTTCTTAGCCACTAGATAGCAACACTAACCCAATCCTTAGTGTCGGGAAGTATACTTACACTCGTCTCGGATTAGAGGACCACAGACGTTATATCCCCCTACATCTATACAATCCGATAATCTAATGCGATTCCTGCTTGGCGAGGCGGAGTTGGGTGACGCGACACCGCTTCCGATTCTTGCTTCTGCGGATAACCGCTGGCGCTGGGATGCCTGGGACGCCTTCTCGCGCTTTCATATATACCGCGATCGATATGAGCGGAGGGTTAGTCCGACCAAACCTCGCAAGGACTGCAGGTCGGCCACGGACTGGCCCGAAATTACGGATCAGTATATTCTTCTCAATGCCATGTACGATCGTCAGGAAGGCAAGCCGGTCGACGAGAAGGAGGTTGTGGCTGCGGAGGAGCGTCTTCGACAGATTACACCGTCGTCTCCTGCCTGGCTTGACAACAACCCGGAATAATTTCTAGCCATTTCCCAGTAGATAGGTACCGCGCAAGTCGCTCTGTGAACAGCAATTCAGCCATACAACAGCTGATACGGCTCCCTGGTACACTCCATTTTCACTCCTAGTCACAGTTTTAGCCCCCAACACTAGACCTTGCGTGACGAATTACCAAGCACAACCGGACCCTTTTTGGGGGGCGCTAGATGGACCGCGACAAAGGATGTTGAGATAGAAGCATTCAGCCAGCCTTCTCGTGAATTATACTTAAATCACAACAAGCCTGTATATAGCTAGGGGTCCGGCTGATTTACCTTTTCAAGGCAAGCCTTCAAGGCTAATTGGCAGGTGCCAAGAGAACTGTCTCAGATATAGAAAATAAGGCTATGGAGCTTGTTCGAACCGGATTGGCTAGCGCCATGTTACATCTTGAATCCGTATAAACACGTTGATTTTCTATAACGACGTTTTTAGCCCCCATCCAAGCAACCCATCGATGATCCGCCGTCACTAGTCTACGGTATAGACTTCTGGGGCCCATCGAGTCACGCCAGTCACTGCCGGCAATGAATCGCGTGGGGCCCTTGACTATGGTGCCAAAGTTGTATTCGTACACCGTAGTGTAGTTGTAGCGGTAGTAGTAGTAGAGGGGGGGGTAGGGTCAAGAAAAAGTTAATTATCCGGGGCGTCATCACCGGACCGCGATTCATGCCACTCTACACAGAAAAGCGCAAACATCGCGCCCTCAACCCATTCCCCGCTGCCGAAACATGACGCTGCCAAAGACGGACGCCGCGGCCAGGCCGGACAGCCTCATCAACAAGCACGACGGCCTGCAGTACTGGCAAAATGCCACCGCCGACGTCGACGGGATGCTCGGCGGCGTGCCCGCCCTCTTCCGGCCCATCTCCCGCATCGACCTGCAGGGCTCGCGCACCTTTCTCGCGCGTCTCGGCATCGGCAGCCGGGCCAAGGTGTCTCGGTGCATGGAAGGCGGCGCCGGGTACGTTGCCCCCCCACGCATTCCCTAACATCACATATCTAAAGTATATTCACCCTCTAGCATTGGAAGAATCACAGACGGCCTGCTGGCACACGTAGCCGACCAGGTTGACATTGTCGAGCCCGTGGCCAAGTTCACCCGGGCGCTGCGCGACTGCCCGGCCGTGCGCCGCATCGACAACGTCGGGCTCGAGGACTGGGCGCCGCCGCCCGACGGCACCCGGTACGACCTCGTCTGGACGCAGTGGTGCCTCGGCCACCTGACGGACGCGCAGGTCGTCGCGTACCTGACGAGGTGTCGCGGCGCGCTGGTGCCGGGCACGGGCGTGCTCGTCGTCAAGGAGAATCTGAGCACGAGCGGCCAGGACGTGTTTGATCCCGTGGATAGCTGCGTGACGAGGTAAATGTTGGGAAGACGTAGACGGGCAATGAAACGAAAAAAAGGCAAAACACTGACGCAGATGATGACAGACAAGAAGAGACGTGGACAAGGTTGTTCCAGCAGGCTGGACTGCGAGTGGTTCGACAGGAACCGCAACGGGGTCTGCCAGAGACAGGACGGACGCGGCTACTGCCGGTCATGATGTATGCGCTAAAACCATGAACAATAGAACATAATGTTATAAAGAAAAAGTAAACGTGTACAGGTCCGCGCGTTTTGTCATTCTGAGCCATTCTGTCATTCATACATACATGTCGAGCCAAGTTCAATACACCTCATGACACCCCTCCCCTACAACTTTTCATACTCGGCCGCCATGGCCTTTCCGGCGGCGCGCCCTGAAAAGATGCAACCGCCCACAAACGTGCCCTCGAGCGAGTTGTACCCGTGGACGCCGCCGCCGCCGAACCCGGCCGCCTCGCCCGCCGCGTACAGCCCAGGGAACGCTGTTTTGTCCGCGCGCATGACCTGACTGTCCAAGTTGGTCTCGATGCCGCCGAGCGACTTGCGCGTGAGCAGGTTCATGCGGACGGCAATGAGCGGCCCGTGTGCCGGGTCCAGCAGCCGGTGCGGCGGCGCGATGCGGCTGCGCTTGTCGGGCCAGTAGCTGCGCCCGTTGTGGATGAGCATGGCCTGCGCGTCCTTGCTGTAGGGATTGTCAAACTGGCTGTCGCGGGCCTCGACGACAGCCGTGACGGCGTCCAAGTCGAGCGCGGGGCCGTTGCGCTCCTTGGCCAGCACGTTCATGCCCTCGACGAGCTCCGCCAGCGTGTCGCGCACGACAAAGTCTTTGCCGTGCCTTTGAAAGTTTTGCACGGGAATCGTGCCTTTGCTGCTGAAGATGCGCTGCGTCAGCATCTGCCAGATGCTCTTGTTCGTAATGTCGGGGTTCTGCTCCGAGCCGGAGAGGGCGAACTCGCGGGCAATGATGGTCTGGTCGAGAATAAACCAGGTGTAGTCGTAGCCGGTGCCGCAAATGTGCTTGAGTGTCGCGCGTGTGTCGGTGCCGGGGAACAGGAACGGGGGCAGCCGCGTGCCGGTGGCGTCGAGCCAGAGTGACGATGGCGCGGGCAGGACGCGGATGCCGTGGCCGGGCCAGATGGGATTCCAGTTTTGCAGGCCCTCAGTGTAGTGCCACATGCGGTCCGTGTTGATGACATTGGCGCCGGCCGTCTTGGAAATGTCAATCATGCGGCCGTCGACGTGTGCCGGCACGCCCACGACAAAGTGCTCCGGCACCTTGGGGCCGAGCAGGTCCACGGGCCAGGCCTTTTTGACAGCCTCAACGTTGCCGCCGATGCCGCCCGACGAGACGAGAACGGAGGAGCCATAAATTTCAAAGCTGTCGACGACTTTGCGCGACGACTTGACGCCGCGCGCCGCGTCGTCTTCTTCGAGGATGCTTCCCCGCACACCGACGGCATGGCCGCGCTCGTCGGTGATGATGTCATCCACCTGGTGTCTAAAGCGAAACTCGACGGTGCCCCTCTTCTCCGCCGCGAGCACAGGCTCGCAAAAGACGCGGACGACCTCGGGCCCGGTACCCCATGTGAGATGGAATCGCGGCACCGAGTTGCCGTGGCCGTCGGCGCGACCTGCGCCGCGCTCCGCCCAGCCGACGTTGAAGACGAAGCCCATGCCGCGCGCTCCGACGTACGCCTCCATCTCGTCCGTAGCAAAATCGACAAAGGCCTTGGCCCAGCGGCGCGGCCAGTGGTCCTCGACGTCGCGGTCAAACTGGGCCGAGTCGAGCCAGTCGCGCATGGCCAGGTCGCGCGAGTCCTTGATGCCGAGGCGGCGCTGCCGTGACGAGTCGACCATGAAGACGCCGCCGAGCGACCAGAACGCCTGGCCGCCCAGGTTCTGGCGATTCTCCTGGTCGAGGAGGATGGTGGGGATGTTGCGCTCGGCCAGCTCAAACGCGGCGACGAGGCCGGCGAGGCCTGCCCCGACAATGATGACGGGCTTCTTGGGGGATGCGTCTGCGGCGGGTGCCATGGTGTATGGTGGTTGGAAGGGTTTTGAGATGGAGGAAGAGGATTCAAGTTGCCAACAGAAGCTTGTGGAGGAAGCTCTTGGGGGGCTACGGGGAACTCAAAGGACCCCAGCGGGCCGAATCTGGGAGTGGTGCCGATACCTGTAGGTTGTTCGGACTCGTGGCGAATGAGAGCGAATGATGGTTATCAATAGTATGCAAGTCAAGGATCCTCCGTATATCTACAGCCTGCAGTGAGGTGAAGAGGAGATGGGATGGGATGACGCCCAGTTACAGTGACAACTCCGTCCCTAGTCTCCGGTCCCGCTTTTCTCCAACTACCTGTACTTCCAGGAACCTCGGTACATTGTAGGAAATGGAATAAGAATGCAATAAGAATGCAATAATGCTATTGGTTGCCGCCTCGAATATTTTGCATGTAAAAGAGGACCGAGTACAAATACAAAAATCCCCTGTACTTGGTATCCCTGTACTTGGTATCACGAGCACAAGCAAGCACCTCGGCGGCCTAGTATCCACTGCCGTATGTTAGACAGGCAGATCGGAGCCAAAAGTAGCACCGTATCCATGCATCACTACAATATAGAATAAAAATCAACCAAAACACCTCGGATGCAAGAACCATCGGCAGCCAAAACACCACCCCTCCCATACCCTCCATTTTACTACTCTTCCAGTTGCTCCTCTCCTTCCGCTATCGAGTCGACAAGAACGCTCCCGTCAGGTGGGAAGTGAGAGAGCAACAGCACACTCACGGCAACGACAGCGATTGCCTAGGTAGCAACTCGTGTTAGCGCAGGGAAGCCTCTGGCGTTGAATGACGTCGGTATACTCACAGCATTGCAGAAGAATGTCGCATACGCCTTTCCCACGTTGGCAAGCACGGCGAAAACAAACCCAAACAAGCCCTGCGTGGAAAGACGCGCAATATTTTCCACCAAGGTGACGGCGTTGAGGGCATCTGCGCGCTGCGCGTCGGAGCACATGGATGTGATGACACCCTTGGCAGCCGGCGCAGATCCCGATCCAAAAGGAAGTAAAAACGCGGCTGTCATGACATTGTTAGCGAAAAGCACGGCAGCGGCTGGTACAAGACGCAGGTGGGCGTACCCAGGTAAATATGCCACGGCTCCGTAGCAAATGCGGCCACCGTAGTAAAGGCGCCATCGACAACAAGACTCCAGCGCAAAAAGGTCAAGTCAAACTGAGGATCCAGCTCTTGGTCCTCCTTGGGCCGCGTCGGCTTCACAGGCTCGTCGCTCGGAATCGTGCCCATGCTCGCGTCGAACTGCCGCGGGTCCGTCGGCAGCGAATCCGGCGTCAGTGTTCCGTCGGTGCCGTAGCCCTCTTCTCGTACCGCCGGCGACGGCTCGCTGCGGAGGCGCTTCGAAGCGAGCAATCGTCTGCCCAACGCAATGAGGCGAGGGAACAGAAACAAGAGGAAGATGCCCCTCATCAACGCAAACTCGGACATGAGCAGGCCGTTGCTGGCCTGGCTAAAGTTAAACGCGGCCGTGGCGTACATTTGGATCAATAGAGGGGCGTAATCGGTCGCCAGCTGCAGCACCTTGTTAGCATTCTTGCACAGCCTGTCGGGCCGGGTTTGCAACATACCACTCCCAGGAAGATACCGGCGCAGAGGAGGACGACTCCGTAATGCTTGCTCATCTGTCCGCTGGCGAGGCGCAGTTTCTGCGGTGCCAGGATGCGCAGTGGCGCGAGGAAGCCGCCCGAGCTCTTGCTCGACTTGTCGGTCCTAACGGGCGGTGGAATGTAGGGCAAGGATACCAGCACGTAGACGCATGATACGAGGAAGAAGCCACAGGCCACGTCAAACGGCGCTCGAACGCCAAACGCGTCTCCCAACAAGCCACCAGCTAAGGATATTGTCAGCTTCTTAGTGATTGGGGAAGAAGCTTGGTGAACGTACTGAAGTTGCCCAAGGATTGCCCCAACATGAAGCATCCCTGCAACATGCCAAAAACGGCGGTGCGGCGGATGGGGGTAACAACCTCGCCAGCAATAATGTTAATGACGAGGCTTGGGTTTCAAAAGGTCAGCTATATGTGTACAGAAAGAAATAGTCAACGTTTTGAACGGGCAACGTACATGTAGCCGACAGGGCCGCCCAAGATTGTAATCAGCTGCGTGCCCTGGATAATGTTCATGCCCAACCTCTTTCCAGCCATGACGCCGAGAATCTGGGCGAGAACGCGTATGGCCGGAACAAAAGTCTGGAAGAGAATGGCCGTCTTGGCTCCCCATTTCTTGACGGCCCATCCCGCGACGAAGAGATTGATGGTTCCTGCGTGCCGTCGACATCGTCAGTGACTGGAAGAAGAATAGAAAAAGGCAAAAAAAAGAATATAGGCATGAAATCCAATGACATCGCAAAAGTACCACAAAGAGTCGTCGTTATCCCGAGGATGCTAAACTGCGTGGCCGTTCCGGCCGCAATTTCGTTGCGCGCGCATCGGTCGCCGTCGCCGGTATACGGAGGGTGGCGGTCGTAAAAGGCATCACACGTCATGAGCCGAAAGACGTAGAGCAGGCTGGAAATGCAACGGTAAGCGCAGACCATCCTCGAAAATTGCAAAGCGATATGTGGACGTACGGGACTTGCGTAAAGCTAAACGAGAGGGAAATCAGAAAGCCGGCCAGAAGAATACGGTTCTCGACGTGGAACAAGCGCTCCAGACAGGTCGGCCTCGAGCGACCCTGCTGTTGCTGCTGCTTGGCGGCGCCGTCTGCAGGTGGCCGTGGTGCTGTTCCTGCGCCGGAGCCGGAGCCGCCCGGGAGGAGCGGTGCTGTCTCGTCTGCCGACATTTCAGTACCGAGTCTTCCGGAAAGAAAGGAAAAACGACCAAGGGAAAGCAACGACAAGAGAAAGGGAAAAGGGAAATAAAGAGGTGTAAAAAAACAGTTATGGATTACAAAGGCTGCTTGTCCAAACTAAAATCCCCCCTCCCCCACCACCATGTCGGTAATTGGCAGGAGAAGAAAGGGAAGCATACCCGGGTGGTGGCGGTCCCTAGAAAAGGAAAGTGAACCTTCCTTGTCTTGCCCCCCACGGCCAGTAATTCGTACGAATACGTCAATATAAAAAGCTTGGGCGTCGTCGTGTTCCCGTCCGACGCCCAGCACCAGCAGGGGACGGGATCCGATCCGAGACTTCCAATCTGCGCGCGCCAGAAACAATATGTAGTTAGCAATGCACGTCTCAGTCTTGTACACTGCACGCACTGCACGCACTACTAGTATGCTGCTGAAAATCTGCGGCTGAGGCAAAGACAGCGCCGAGATTTTTTGGTCTCCCCGGGTGCCGAGTGCACTTTGTTCTCCTTCTTTTCTTCTTCCTGTGGTTGTCTATCATGTCGTAACCTTTTTTTGTTTCACGGCGGAGTTTCCGTCGTCGTGGCTCTCGTCGCTCTTTCCCGTCATTGTCCGTCATTCGACGTCATGAACCATATATATTGGGCATCATGCCAAGCAAGCAACTCGACATTGAAAGGAAGAATGAAAAAGAAAAGGGCAAAATTATGGTTTCAATCAGTCTCAGACGATGATTTATTAGCTCTCAAAAGAAAGTCTTGTCCAACACCAACCTGTGCAGCTAGTTCGGTTGTCCGCGAATCTCGGAGCTAATAAAGCCGCAGCGGATGGCTCGGTCTCGTTATCGGCGCCGTAGCAAATGGGGCCGCCCCGGATCAAGCAAACATGTCACGAATGCTTCGCTTGAGCTGCCGTCCAAGTGTCTACGATTTCAAGCAGAGTATTTATGCTCTTCGCCCAATTAATTGCAAAAGTCAATTTTTGGTAGCTACCTTGGCAATGACCATCAGGTCACTATTGAGTGTTCTTGACTTTGCTTCATTATGTATGTACATCTACTGGCGGCGTAATCTGTACAGTTGAAATGCTACCGGACTTATATATCCGTATATATACAAATTACATATATGTATATATCAAATGATTGTTTTCCATCATCGCTCAATGATACGGAGCCACAGACCGCGACAAGCCATAGTCATAATGGCGCACCCCAGCGGTATCGCTCCACAGCATTCCCAGTTCGCTTCACTCCAATCTATAATTTGTACTCTGTAATTTGTATAGACTAATATGTACTCACGCCCCTAGTTATTCGTCCCTCCACGGAACCGCGACGCCAAACTCGTCCGCCACTCTCATGGCCGACACCACACACCCCTCCAGCAGCACCATGCCATCCCAGCACCACGAGCCCGCCACCCACACATTGTCCTTGCCGCTGACCCACGCCTCATCATCCGCGTCCCCGGCCGCTGCTCTGCCGCGCCCACCCACCACCACCCGCTGCACGATGCCCCTGCTCTCCGCCGTGCGCAATGTTCGCGTGAACCGCGCCGTGTGCAGGACCGCACCCTCGTCCGCGGCGTACGGGAACGGGCTGGTGCGGCAGATGGCGCCGCTCGGCAGGTAATTCCACGCCTCCGTCTGGGCGACGTCGTCGGCAAAGTGCGTCCGAAAGACCATGAGCTGGGGATAGTTGTCGAGGGACAGCAGCCGTCCAGAGGTCGGCGCCGCGCCACGCTCCTCGACCGAGACGCGCTTGTACGACGGGTCGATGACGGTCGCTTCGATGGACGCGGTCGGAATCGACGACAGCGCGTAGCTCGCCGGGGGAAAGAGTTTGGCCGTAGCGTCGGGCGTCACGGCGAGCACCACACGGTCAAACACCTCCTCCGAGACCGGCCCACTGCCATTTTGCAGCTGCTCCCATTGCACCAACACGCCGCCGCCGTTACCCACCCTCTCCACCTTGCGGACCCGTGCCTGCAGCCGAATGTCTTTGATGCCCGCCACTAGCCTGGTTTGCAGATTATGCACGCCATCCGTCATGTACGTCTTTTGCAGCGACGACCTCGTCATAAACATCGTGACGTCGCTGGCCGGAAACGCCAGCAGCTGCTGGTGGGAGCAGGTGCATATCGCGCCTAGCACCGGAAGCAGGTGGTAGTCGACGAAGCGCCGCGGCACGCGGGTCCGGCGCAGGTAGGCCTGCAGCGACTCGCTCGCGCCCGTCTTTTGCGCGACGCGGGGCTCGACGAGGAAGCAGGCCGCCAGGAACCAGACGTAGCAGGCGGCGATGAAGACGGTCTGCCACAGCTGCTGCAGCCGGCTGCAGGGGAAGCGAACCGACAGCACCGGCTTCCAGGCGTTTTCAAAGGCAAAGTAGGTGCCCGCCATAGGATCGGCGCTTTGCGGCGGGCGCGGCCCGCCGGTGCGGCTGCTTCGCGTCTTGGTCGATTGGATCTCGGCGTAGAGAAAGGTATAGCGGACACGGCGGAGCGGTATCCGCAAGAAATCGTACATTTGCGTGAGGTTCGGGTAGTAGCCGCGGGTGACGCTGCGTGGGGGGATGTTGACACGCTCCGTCACACCGGTCGTCGCATTTTTCAAGGTGACGGATGCTGCATCGAGTGAAAGTGTTTCGGCCTATGTCGCAACTGTCAGGGAACTGAACCGAGTATATATTATGGACGTACGGACCTGTTCGAAAAGAGCAACGTCAAATCTCGCCTGGGTGTCGTTTTGGAGGAGATGTGCCGTCGTCAGCCCAGCCAATCCAGTTCCTATGACGGCGACGCGAGTCTTGGGATTGGCGCCGGCCGCATCCCGCTGCGCTTGCTGTTTCACCATGCTTGCGTCGATGGCAAGGCTGTTGATCTGGTTATAGAGAGACAGCGAAGACGTAACCCTGTAAAAACTATTTGGGCAACCGCCGACGGGCAAACGGGAACGGGTGGAAAAGTGGCTTTACTTATGTCAAGATGGGACCCACTGACACTTTGACTCGAGAACAAGATTGCCTCGGGACCCGGCGGGATGATTATGCCGGCGGGCAAAAATGGAGGAGAAAAGGGCAGGGTACCGTTTGGGATTTCAGAGGGTCCTGGGCCACTCACATGGTTTTATTGTAATCCATTGCATCTTGGCCGTACTGGTGGTACTGGTGGTGTCGTTCTGCACGAGAACCGTGGCAGGCGTCGTCTGATTTTGTTGAGAATCCACAAGTTTTAATGTGGCCTGCAGGAAGAGCTTGCAAGTCTTGATCAGAACAGAGTTGACATGTGACGGGACACCTGATACTTGAACTATTGTCGCTTTCGCTAATAGTATCTCCACAAAGTTGGACTTGTATGTACTAGGTAGTTATCTATACTTGATCACAACTGTGCAGTTAACCGAGTAGATGGGAACCAACAGACCCATCCGTCATCGTGGAGCTTCTCTCAACCGGCTCTCGACCAGTTCTCTATGTACCGGCATACTGGCATCCAGACCCATCGTAACGGCTGTCGTCGGTTGACACTATCAAACTAGCCGAAGTCCAAGTCCAAGTGCCTTGCATCCAACGAGTATCCATTACATCATGGACACACGCCTTGCTCCCGCCGTCACCTCGCGCTAACCACTCAATCTACCCCCGAGCAACCAAGAAACACCCCCAAATTCCAAATCATCCATGACCCAACGATGCCCCCAACGGCTCTACTGGTCCAAACGGCACATATAACAGCCTACCGCACCCCCCCTGTAGCTCCCCGCCACACCCAAAACCAACAAGCGAAAACACCAACGAAAAGGACCCAGCCATGACCATCACCGTGCACCACCTGCAAGTCTCCCAGTCGGAGCGCATCCCCTGGCTGCTCGAGGAGCTCGGCGTGCCCTATACCCTCAAGACGTACCAGCGCGCGCCGCTGCTCGCCCCCGCCGCCTACAAGGCGCTGCACCCCAGCGGCGCCGCCCCCGTCATCGACGACGACGGCCTCGTCCTCGCCGAGTCGGGCGCATGCGTCGAGTACCTCGCGCGCCGCCACGGCGCCGGTCGCCTCTTCGTCGACCCCGCCGACCCCGACTACCCCGCGTTCCTGTACTGGTGGCACTGGAGCAACGGCACCTTGCAGCCCGCCGTCGCCCGCGCCATGTACGTCCGTGGCGCCGCCGAGGACAGCCCCATGCGCGCCGTGTCCAGGGAGAAGCTCGGGCGCGCGCTCCAGGGCCTAGACCAGCAGCTGGCCAAGCACGCCTTCATCGCCGGGTCGGCGCTCACGGCCGCCGACATTATGACGGTGTTTTCGTTGACGACGATGCGCTGCTTCTCGCCCTACAGCTTGGCCGAGTACCCCAATATTCTACAGTACCTGGGCCGTATCGGAAAGAGAGAGGCATACCGCACCGCCATGGCCAAGTCGGATCCGGACATGGAGCCGGCGCTGGGTGCCGACTCGCCCAAGCCTCTACTGTAAAAATGGCATGGAGAAGAAGCAACTAGCTAATAGAGCAGCTGTTCAAGAACAGGAATGACGCGACTGGGAATTTAAATGGCCGTGTTGGCCGTGTGACATGCCATTTTGTAAAAAGTCTACCTGGACATTAGAGGAATCAAAACCAACGCCTATCCTATGCACCCTTTCGTGTTGCATTTGCAATCCCTTGCTGCATTCTATATGTACCACAAAACGAAACATAGCCACCTCATCGTCTTCCACGTCCGCCGCTACCAGGCTTACCCGGCATGCCCATACCCGGCATGCCTGGCATGCCACCGCCGCCCATGCCCATGCCCATCTGTTGCATCATGGCCTGCATGTCCATGCCACCAGGCATACCGGGCATACCGCCACCGCCGCCGCCGCCGCCAAGCATCTTCATCAGCGAGCCCATATCGGGCATGCCTCCTGCACCGCCGGCACCGCCCATGCTGGCAAGGCGCTTCTGCATAGCCGCCATCTGTTGAGCTTTGTTGCCGCCACCCATAGCTTGCTGGGCCCGTTGCATATTCTTCATGTTTCCACCCATCTTCTTGACCATGCCGGCCATCATGCGCTGCTGTGTCAAGAGATCCTCAATCTCACGTACGGACGTGCCGGATCCACGAGCAATTCTAGTCATGCGGGTGGGCTGATCGATCAGGATCTTGCCATCCGAATCCAGCTCCTTTTCCGTCATAGAGTCGCAAATATAGATCATGCGCTTCAACTTGGCACCTCCTTCCTCATCATCCATCCCTTGCATCATGTTGCTCATGCCAGGAATCATGCCCGCCATCTTGGATAGCGGACCCATTTTCATGATATTTGAGAGCTGATCGCGCAGGTTGCGGATTGTGAAAATGCCTTCTTGAATGTTCTTCATGGTATCCTGCTGATTTAAATTCAAGCTCTGTACGTGCTCAACCAGGCCGGCGATGTCACCCATGCCTAGTAGCTTCTGGACAAATTGCTGTGGCGCAAAACGTTCGAGGTCGAGCATGTGTTCACCGGTACCGATGAACACGATCGGTGTGTGTGTGGCAGCGACAGCAGAGATGGCACCACCACCATGAGCGTGGCCGTCAGTCTTGGTAATAATGATGGCACCAAAGTCGGCAGCCTCCTTGAAAGCCTTGGCTTGCGATTCGGCTTGTTGACCGATCGAAGCATCCAGCACCATAATCGTTTCGTCCGGCTTAATAGCTTCCTGAATGTCCACCATTTCCTGGAAGAGCGCCGACTCTTGTCTATGACGTCCCGAGGTATCGACAATAATGATGTCGAACTTTTCCTTTTTGAACTGCTCAACACCGGCACGTGCGACAGCGGCGGGATCAGTCTCCGTTAGCGAACCGTAGTATGGAATTTTGGCCTTGGTGGCATTTTGCTTCAGCTGATCAAAAGCACCAGCTCGAAAGGTATCGGCGCAAACAAGGCACGCCCGGAAACCTCGTGTCTGGTAGTGTCGGGCGAGCTTCGTACACGTCGTCGTTTTACCGGCACCCTGCAGACCGACAAACATGATGACGTTCGGTTTGCCCTTCTTGGGCTTGAATGGCTCCGCATGAGGGTCTACGAGCTTCACCAGCTCATCAAAGACGGCTTTCTGAATCAATCGCTTCTTGTTGACGGCGGGAGGGATGTCATTGAAATTGACCGTGCTTTTAATCGACTTTCGTAATTGACCAACAAGTCGGACGTTGACGTCGGCTTCGAGGAGAGCGGAGCAGATCTCTTTGATCATGGCATCGAATGCCTAAGCACCATGGTTAGCGATCCATTCATGGCGACGTAGTCTCTACGCCGGTCGGGGGGGTGGCGAGTTTTGGCGGGGTGCGCGCCGTCGCAAAACGACTGGTGAGTGTACCTTTTCATCGAGGTTCTGCTCGCGGGTCAGGTTGGTGACCGCCGAGTTGATACGGCGGCCGAGATCTTGAAGAACCATGCTGGCGAGTTCGGACGCTCGTTCGGAGGCGAGGCAGTGATGGCAAGGGTATCTTGGTTTCGCTCAACTTTGGAGTTGTGGCATGTCCCACCTGAGAGCACTTGTGTGGAGGCGGGGCATAGGTAGCGGGCGAAAATATTCTCCGCTCCGGTGTTACGTTCCGTGTTTATAGGGCGCAGAGCACTAAGCTGTCCCATAGGTATGTACCTGTTATTTAAATACACCGGACCCTTCTCCTTCATACTACAAACTGGGACGACCGAACATCGTGCACAATGGCTGGTCATAATGACTGGTCTAAATTGGGCATTCGAACAACTCGCGACTATTTTGCCTATTCATCCTCTCCGCAATCTGATTTAAATCCGATCATCAAACGACTTCTCTCGACTTGTCCTGATTCGTCTGTCTTCGGCATTTGGCGGCCACTCCGTAGTGCTCCGCATCTCTTCTGGTATACCTAGTGGCTAAGGTGTCCCTGGAACCAGGAGACGGGCGCCTGCGTCACGAACAGACAATATTTGAATCACTTGCCGAATCCAATTGCCCAAACCTTGTCCGGTGTTACCACCATGCTTCGGACGTCAGCTTCCTCGAACTTATAGCGAATGGCACCCTTCACGATCGAATGAGCATTACTAAACCTCGGCCAGTTCTACACTGGATGCTGCAGTTGTCACACGCAGCCGCATGTTTGGACTTCAAGTCAGAGACAAGAGCGAAGGCTGCTTTGCGAAGAGTATTGTAACATGGCAAACCTAACTCTTACTCCAAACACAACGAAAAAGTAGGATGCCTGTCTCGAAGTCGACGACGGCAATGAGTTGCTGGCAACACAGGATTCCACCACACCACTGGGGAAGCTTCTCGGGTTCCTCACGTCACTGCTCCCACTTGGTTGGGAACAGAACAGTCTGGCATAATACTTCGCAATTGCAAAGTATCTGCATAGCTATGGAGTTGTTACACGCGACCTAGAACTTGGATCTCAAACGGCCCTTTGTCAAAAAATCACTTGCCAGCTGCGCAACCTCTCTTGCCACTCCCCAGCTGATCTCATAGCCTCGCCCTCCAGCACCATAGGCGTGTAGGACTGTAGCCTGCCGTCCCGATACGTCTTTTTGTTCCAGCTCAATCCGCATACCTCCTTCTCTTGTTGGCCGACGACCAACGACATCTGCAATAACTGAAATACCTTGTGCATTGCTGGCAGAAGAACTGGCAAACTTGCGAAGCTCCCGTCCTCCCGCTAGCAGTGCGGTTCGTGTGTCGACATCAGGTTCCGTGGACCAATCTCCCGGCTGCTTGGTACCACCGACGATGGTGCCCCCTGAAAAAAATCGAGGGATGATGAAGCTCCAAGTGCCGTCCTTATTTTGGCGGGTAACTGTCTTGGTCGCATCGTCCATGTCTGTGACAACTGTCTGGCCTAATCCTCATGTTAGCACAATGCAAGCAATACCTCTAGGGTACCCATGTGTACCTCGTGTCGGAAAATATTTGGCATCGCCAAACCCGGTACCGCTGGCATTAATCACCAAGACCACATTTTTCTGTATTGAAAAAGCTTCCCATTCGGTCTTTAGGTCTAGTTCGAGAGTCTTGCCGCCGCGCAGGATGAATCGCCGAAGGAGTGCTTGGCAATAGACCGGAGTATTCACGCAGTACGTCTCATACTCATAGCCAAGGACCACATCCTTTGGAAGTTCAGACTCGGACCATTTCCTATACCGTGGAAGACCAGTCTCTTCCAAAAAGCTCTTGGCATCTTGCTGCCGGTACCCATCGTCTGGGGCTGCCAGAAGCTCAATACCCAATGTACGAGTAACGCCGCTCCACGGCTCTGTTTCCATTTGCGTGCCAAAGTCTGCGACAGTCTGCTTCAGCCATTTGGCTTCTCGTTGCAGTTGCGCCGTAGTAGCAGGAATGGGCCGCACATGGGCGCCAGCCCACATGGAAGCGTAGTTGGCCGAGTGCTTGGAGGGGGAGCCGGGAATCGAGCTGGGCCATTCTCGCGAAACTAGAAGCACCTGTAGATCATCGCTTCCACCGGTCTTCCGGGATGCGATAGCTTCTTGTACTTTTATCGCTGATGACAGACCCAAGACTCCAGCGCTATAAATCGGTCAGTCTGGGCTGATTGTCAGACAGGATGGCGCGTACCCAATCACTACCACTGTCGGCGGATGATTTGCCTCGGCTTGTTCTGGCATTTCGAGAGGTAGAGAAAGATTTCACGTTAGAGAGGAATGAGATGTACAATGAGAAATCTGCATGGGAGTTGGCTGGAGAAGAACGAGTACGGATACAAGAGGTCATAGATAGTCTTCAAGATGGTGGGGTAAAATCCACTTGCCGTGAAGCATCATGCCGTGACCGGAGCTGGAGCACTGCCTCATTCAGCCTTTTCCAGTGCCTCGCCCGGCTTGTATGAGGAGACGATTTTTATATTTCTACATTTTGATACGGAGTCGAGACTCGAGTATGCCTAATATATTAGTAATTAACTACAGCTCCAAATTGAGCATGGGGGCCACGTTCCGTCTGCGCTTGGCAACAGTTCCCGTGTGGGTCTCCGACACTGGGATGGAAGAGAGACTTCAACATGTGGCACAACGACAAGAGAGGCCACACCAGTCTATTAAATTATGAACCTGGGAGGATGTAGAGAATCAACTAAATATGGTAACCTACGCGCAACGGCGTTTTACTATTTACTAAATCTAAAAAGTCGTTTAAGGACAATACACTTTCGTCGATTTTCATCACCTAGAAAGGCTTTAGATGGCGTGAAATTGCAGGGATCTACAGAGGGAACCAGAGTGTGGGCGTGATTAATTGGCTTATATTTTGCTAATAATAAAATTAAACAAGAAGAAACGCTAGGATCTATCATATTCACGATTGATCATTACTAGATCTCTCTAACAGAATTAAAATAGAACTACCCGACTTAGGGTTTCCACAAGAAGCCTGGATGAGTCCAGTCCATGTCCTCGATTTCTTGCTGCGTCTTGTGTCGAAGTTCCTCATCAACGTCCACGCTCCGCCTTCTCTTATTGTCTGCCTTCATCCACAGTAGTGTGAGGGTGCTAATGATCAAGACGGTACCGGCTGCCGCCAGGTTGAGGCCATTGCCGATGCGGTAGTTGGGTGCGTCAAAGGGCAAGTAGGACCAGGCGCTGATGAGGCCGCCAGTGTTGCCAAACATGACATTAGTGCCAATGGCGGCGCTGCGGGTGGTATCACCCACCACATTGGCGGATACTTGCGCGTTTGTGAGGGCGCCGAGGGAGAAGGCGGAAGAAGCAATGAGGAACGTGGCGCCATATCTCACCGACGCGTCATGGGACCCAAGGAACATGCTGTAGCCCACCATGACGAGCGGGGCAGACAGGATGAAGAAAATTTGACGCCGGTCGATGCGCCAGCTGATGAGAGGAAATAGCACAGTAAAGAATGCCCCGACGACATAGGGGGGCACGGTGTAAAGTTGCTTCTGGACGACGGTGCTGTCTTTGTAGATGGTTGCGACAATGGTGGGGGCGAAGAAAGCCAGACCCTGCACGGTGATGTTGTTCAGCAGGAAGACAAATGCCGTGCTCAGGGTGACTGGGTTGAAAATGCCACGCCGCAACTTCTTGGTGTCGATGCGGTCCAGGACTTGCGTGCTGCCGACGCGCTCCGACTGGATCCTGGCAATAGCGAGCTGCTTCTCCTCGGGGCTGAGCCAGCGGGCCGTTTCTGGACGATCGGTGAGGATCACGAAGGCGACAATGCCCAGGAGGACCGTGATGATGCCTTCGATGGCAAAAATCATGCGCCAGCTATGGAGGCTTCCGAAGTTGTTGAGTCGGAGGATGGCGGTGGCAAGCAGCCCGCCAAAGGCGCCTGCGAGCGGGGCCATGACAATGTACAGGGACAGGCGGAATGCCAACTCGGAGCGGCGGTACCAGCGGGAGAGGTAGTGGGCGATTCCGGGCATCATGCCGGCCTCGAAGATGCCAAGCAGAAAGCGCACACCGGCAGCCTGTGGGACCGTCTCGACAAAGGCGGTGCCGACGGAAGCGACGCCGAAGAGTACGGTCAGGAGGGGGATGAACCAGCCGGGCCCCATCCACTTGCAGAGAATATTGGAGGGGATCTCGAAGAGAATGTAGGATATGTAGAATATAGATATGACCATGTTATAGCAGACTGGGTGGCTTAGTGGGATCGCTAGCGTACGCTTTGTTCAGTGGAGCTGACCGTTTAGTTAGAGGGAACTAACTGAGTTGTCTTGAAGGGGTTTGGGGGTTTGGGAGTTGCCAGACCAACCAATACCCGGCGCTCATAGTGGGTGGCTTTTATAGCATGTCGCTGCCCCCTCACACTAGGTACATAAATTATCTGGAGTACCCCGGATCCAGCCTCAACTTCCCCCTCCTTAGCCACGAAGGCTGATATTTTAACAACAAGAATTGGTCAAATAACAACAAGCTAACCGAATTGGTATAGACCCGAGGACGGCGAGATCAGCTTCACGCTCGACGAGGATGTGCACCGGGCGCCCGAGTTATTAGCGATGCAGAGATTTATCGATACAGACGATACGGGCGATGCAGGCGATAGGGGCGATAGGGGCGATACAGGCGATACAGGCGATATAAGGTGTTATTATCGTAGATTTAGGGGCTAGAACGACGCCTGAACAAGTTAACAATTAATGCCGCCGGCTTTATCATAGCGAATTTATCAATTTCAGCCATCGTGGCAGCCTCCTTGATAGATGCAATCAATACTCGTTGAGAATTGACGCAGGTAAGGTCTATACTAATTCGGTTTAGCTTGTTGTCATTTAACCAATTCTTGTTGTCAAAATATCAGCCTTCCTTAGCCACGGCATCCCGCACTAACAAGCCCCCTTGAACACAAATCATTCGGCAGATCGAATCGGCAATAGCTTAATTCACTAGCCGACCGACGACGGATGGAAGGATGCTGCGATGATTCCCAACGGCGGCTCTCACCCTATTGAACGAGAAATGCGGAAGAGTACTATCAACAGTAGCATTCCTGAATTCCAGCGTGTCTCGCGACGACCTCAATCCCTAATCCTCTCAGAAATCTCCGAGATAGAAATGTGCTGCAGCGTCTGAACAGCATACGCCTGCTTCCAAGCCAGCTTGCGCATGAATTAATGACAGGGCCATGGGCTTGCAACCCGTCGCCACGCATGATATTGCCGATCCCCACGGGGAAACACCGAGTCATGATAATACGCGTCGCCATGATTGGAGGAGACTTGGGCAGCAATTGTGTGGCAAATCATCAATAATACGCGCCTCAATGTTCACGTATACGAATCCGCCAAGTCCCCAGAGCGCGGTGCCGCCGAGGGCCTCCCGCACCATGCCATTGGTGCACTCGACGCCATCATTTCCTCGGCTGGGGAATTCATGCTAGACAGGGGCGGCTGTGATGCATACAAACCCGACCCGTCTGGTGCTGGTACGAAATCGGCCGAGAGCTATACCGCAGGCATCTGGACCGCACGCTGGTGAAAGGAAATTTGACAGGCCAACGAGCGACAAGCAAGTCATTGTCCACCGAGCCGATATCCGCTCCGCTATCCAAAGGTTCTCTCCATGTAAAAAATAAATAAAAGAATACTTGAATCGGTACACACCGAAGGGAACCCAGGTTACATTGGAATTCTCGGACGACGCTATTGGCGCCAGCATCTTGGGATCTGTCCGCAAGCACATTCTCCACGATGGCGATTCCGCCCACACCTACAGGTATCTTGGACTGCCGATACCTGCTGCCGTTAGAGAAAGCTAAAAAGAAGCTTGGCGCCCAGTACTTCCCCGAGCACCGCCAGTATGGCTGGTGCGGAGATGTGGCTTTCATCTTGCACAACGTCCTGCACCATGGCGAGACGGCGCAGTGTGGCGTGTCCGCCATCGAACCTCTGACCCGTGAAATTATCGAAAATACTCTTAGATAATAGCTAGATGAGTACATTGCAAGAAAATTGATTGACATGTGTAGCGACTTGTTCAAATGCCTTTGTCAAGACCCGACGCTAACTCCCCCTTTCCTTTCAGCTTCTCCTAGACTGCACTGTTTTGAGAATATATTCTCAATGGGAGCCCAAGTCTACGACTACGTATTCCAAATAGGTAGAAGCGTGTGTATCATGGATGACGCGGCTCATGCCACAACACCATGGGAGGGTAGCGGCGCGGCCGGCCAGGGCAATCAACGACTCTGCCGCCCTCGGTGCGCTAATACGTAATTTCCCGACGGCAGGGAAAATAGCCCACGAAGTTCAGGCATATTATCAGGTGCGACGGCCCCAGACGCAGAATATTACTGGATTGAGGAAAGCTATGGAAAAGCTCATGTGCTGCCAGGCCCATCGGCTTTAGCAACGCCAACACCACGTGTAGTCTGCTTGGCGAGCGCTAGAGTTTTATTAACAATTTTGACATTGGGGGGAAAATAAGCAACGCAGCGACACGTCTCAACGAAAGCATGGAGTGATAAACAAAGATGGATCAGGTATTGATATATGTGTACAGCGCCAGGGTGACCAGACGCCTGGTAAATGCTAGCTCAGGTAAGCTGAAGGCACTTCTTGTACAATGTATTTACAATGACTCGACTTTGATGTTGGTAGTGACATTCCCCTGGGTAGCGCGGCTGTATGGGCACGTCTCCTTGGTCTTTTCGACCAGCTTCTCCAGATCCTCCTTGCCGACGCCCTTGACCTTGACGACCATCTCGACCCGGATGCCGAGATCCACCTTCTTGAGGTCGCCCACCATGTGCACCGTCGTCTCGACGACGCTGTCCTCGGCATTGGATGGCATCTTGACGCCCATCTTGGGGGCGACCAGGTTCATGGCCGACTGGAAGCAGGCGCCGTAGCCGGCCGCGAACAGCTCCTCGGGGTTGGTCTTGCCCGGCCCGCCGGCGCCGCCCAGGCCCTTGGGCATGCCCAGATCCATCTTGAGGCCCTCGCTGCCCTCGACGTGGCCGTTGCGCGCGCCAATGGTTCGCGCGTGCGCGGAGTAGAGCACTGGCGCCGTGTCGGTGTTGAGGAAGCGGCGCGGCGCGTGCGAGATGGCGCGCGGGGCCTGGCGTAGGAGGGGGCGAATGACTTGTGAGGTATACATGACGCAAGGCGAAAACTGGGGATTTGCGGTGTTGGTAAAGTAGTCGTGAATGAACTCGGAAGTAAGTAGGTAGTGAATTGGAGAGGAGAGCTTATACGTAGTTTGGTCTGAGTACGGTTGTTGCGTGAAAGCTAGCTTGCTTCAAAAGGCCGCCGTGAGGGTATTATGACGTCAACGAGTCTCAGTCTGCAGCGATTAAGTCTGATATGCTGAGTGTAATAGCCTCGAATTAATTAGGATATACTCATGATGAATTATAGAATTCGTTGCTATGCCATGGATCATTTCTCCAGAGCTGGTCTGCACTTAGACAGTTGTGTTCGGATCAGCCACGCCCCGCCACAGCTGCATGACGATGCATTGTCATCTCATCCCATGAGTTATTAGTTACTTCCAACCGGCCAGGGTCGAATGGTTGTATACTGGTAGTGTAATACTATTATCTCTTATTTTGTTTCATCCTCTGTTCGTTATTTCAACGCATTCTGTATATTATCTATATGCTTCGTTATTTTCTTACAGTTTAGAGGTTCACATAGTATGTAGGTAGGTAATAAGCATGTCTGCATATTTCGGTACCGGGGTATTTGGTCCACACAACGAGGAGTGATTGTGCATAATTGCACAGGTACTGCCTCCGAAATGAGGATACTAATCCCTGCAGCTTTTGGATAGGTATATGTAAAGTTGCGGAATGATTCATCAAAGAACCGGAGGGGCCATCGCTGTGTTGCAAATTTGCAATATCCAGGGTACGGCTGGCCGCGGCAGTGTCCGATCGGGCAGCAAAGTCGATAAAGCCATGAATCATAAGGGAAGGTTTGGACAGCTTACAAAGTCATGCTTGGAAATAATATGGCTCTGATTGGCGCGTTGGTTGGCAGGATGTGGGTCACGTTTTCGCCCGATCGCCCGCACTGTGGAACTCCAGTTCAAGTATAAAGACATCACTGTCGGAGCTCCAACATATCTTTTCTGCAGACAATCATCACAACGTTTTATTGCTACCTCTACCACTTCAAATATATTACCAACAACCACTACACTTTTGAGACCATCCTTCTCACACACCGACCTTCACAATGACTGCTTTCAAAGCTTCCACCTGCTGCCGCCAGGGCGATTCCGAATGTGCTTGTGGTATGTCACTTACAGAATAAAACAAAGTGCCAGAATGACCAACTGTACTAACTCGTGTCTAGCTCGCCAAGCTACTTGCAGCTGCGGCCAGAAGCCCGCTCTCCACTGCACCTGCGAGAAGGCCGCTTCCGAAAACACCATCCAGACCGGCGCTCGCTGCTCGTGCCGCGCGCGTCCTGCCGGTGAATGCACCTGCCAGCGCGCTGCGTCCGAGAACACTCTTCCCACTGGCTCGAAGTGCCCTTGTGGTCGCCGTGCCGCCAACGCCTGCACCTGCGAGAAGGCCTCTGACGGTGGCTTCAACCCTGCCAACGAGATTGACTTCACCACCCGCAAGTAGAGTTGGTTGAGCTTGCTTCAACAATTAGTTCTTGATGGAAAGACAGGCTTGAAGGTCCTGGGACGGAGCACTGGCGTTTTAGGGTTTGTTTTTACAAGTTATATGACGGAGTACTCGGGCGGCTGTCAAGGCCCACTCGGGTGACTGCCGCACACATGGGTTTGCACACATGGGGTGTTGGGCTGCAGCATTTACACAGGGCGCGGAGGCACAAGGGTGACTGCAGAATATCAAGGATACCCGAAACTAGGATCACAGGGGTCCACAGTCGTGGAAACGGCGCACTAGGATAACTAGCAATGAATTATTCCGACTCGGAACTCGAAATAAAGATACCCTGCGCGGTGAAATAATCGTGTGAACAACATACCTGTATTTATGTTATGCGAAGCGAGCGCTGCTGTCCGGCCGGGCCCCCTTGCCCGAAGGGTGCATGTTGCATACTTGAGGGAAAGAAATCCGATGGCATCGTCGTCTCCATGCTCGCGGAGTCCGGCGCTGCAGTCGTCTGTCGCCAGCATCAAAGAGTAACAAGCCCAACGTGCCAACGTGCGAAAGTGTGGTTGTCATCAAGCTCACCGCCCGGGGCGGCACGGGTTATTCTGCCGGACATTACAAAAAAGTTGCCCGGGCGGTCAGAGCTCGACGACCTAGGCGCTGGTGCGACATGGTTGGGTTGTGCAATAATAAGCTAATAAGCTCACACGAGTGGCGCCAGCTGCCGACGCGCATTTTCGTTGCTTCAAACACTTGAGAATCCAGCCCCCCAGCCTTCATTCCATCAAGCGGAACTTATCTGGACATTCATCGTGTTAGCCCATTGTGGTCGCTATTTCATTGGCAGTTCCGTTTCTCAGCGCCACCTTTATTGAAGGCAATTCATTCCTTTTTGGCGCGCTTTTCTCTCTTCGCACACGCGGCTGGTTTTGCTTGCTGTTTCGCACGGCTCCCGAGCAAACGTTGCAACTCAAATCTGCTTAGTCGCCCCCCGCCCCCTTTCATACCAACCCTTTACTTCCCTTCCCTTCCGTCACGATGCCAGCTGCAAAGAAAGCGACGGCATCCGCAGCCTCTACGAAAAAGGCCGCCGCCGCCACGACGAAGAAGCCCGCCCAGAAGGTCGCGCCTGCCAAGACTGCTGCCAAAAAGAAGATGGAACCCGCGCCCAAACCCAATGGCGCCGCCGCTGCGTCTAGAAAGCGCAAGGCTTCTGTTGAAGCGACGGGCGAGGTCAAGAGCACCAAAAAGGTCAAATCGGAGACGCCCGCGCCTCGCGCCATCGCCGTGCCCAAGTCCAAGCCGAAGAAGGCTTTCCCCGACATTGGCAAAGCTGTCAACGAAATCCCTCACGAGATTCTTGACGTCTACGTGTTTGGCGAGGGCTCGTCCGGAGAACTCGGCCTGGGCAGCAAAAAGGTGAATGGCAAGAAACCCATCGACGTCAAGCGACCTCGCCTCAACGATAAGCTTGATGCCAAGTCGGTCGGTGTCATCCAGATTGCGTGCGGCGGCATGCACGCTGTTGCCTTGACGCGCGACAACAAAATCCTCACATGGGGTGTCAATGACCAGGGCGCTCTCGGACGCGACACGAACTGGGACGGCGGCCTCAAGGATATTGACGGCAACGATTCCGACTCGGACGACGACACTGACACTGGCATCAACCCCGTCGAGAGCACCCCCACCGCCGTTGGGGAAGAATTTTTCGCGCCGGGCACCAAGTTTGTTCAGGCTGTCGCAAGCGACAGTGCCACCTTTGTCCTCACGCAAGATGGACGCGTGTACGGCTGGGGTACTTTCCGCTCCAGTGACGGTGTTTTGGGCTTCACCGAGGCTATCAAAATTCAGCAGCGTCCTATGCTTCTACCCACCCTCAAGAACATCACAGCTCTTGCCGCTGGTTCCAACCACATTTTGGCTCTTGACACCAAGGGCAACGTTGTTGCTTGGGGCTGCGGTCAGCAGAACCAGCTCGGCCGTCGCATCATTGAGCGCAACAAGATGTCGTCGCTGACACCCCAGGGTATGGGACTCCCTCGCGGCAAGATTGCCAAGATTGCCTGCGGTGCCTACCACAGCTTTGCCATCGACAAGGATGGCAAAGTCTGGGGCTGGGGCCTCAACAACTTTGGTGAAATTGGTGTGCAGTCAAACGCCGGAGAAGACGACGCAGTTATTCTTAAGCCTGCCAAGCTCGCCGACCTCGAAGACCATGTCATCACTGACATAGATGGCGGTGTTCACCACTCCCTGGCCTGCTCTGAGGACGGTAAGCTCTTCACTTGGGGCCGTGTTGATGGTTTCCAAGTCGGCTTCGAGTTTGATGAGCTGAACAAGGATGATGTCATCTTTGACGAGAGAGGTGCCCCCAGAATCTTGGTGAAGCCAACTGACAACACCGAAGTCTCTGGTATCTGTGCTGTCACCGCAGGATCCGACAACAACTTTGCCATCTCGGAAGACGGCAAGGCATACTCGTGGGGTTTCTCTAGCAATTATCAGACTGGCCAGGGTACCATTGAGGATATCAAGACGCCCACAGAGATTGATAACACTGCTATCCGTGGAAAGCAGATCATCGGTGCCGGTGCCGGTGGCCAGTTCTCTGTGCTCTTTGGCAAAGCCGAGGGCCAGACCAATGGCGCCAAGACGAACGGCACTCACTAAGCTACAATACCGGCTTAGGTATCGTATCAAACAACGCGATCATATAGTTGCATGTATAACTTGAGCATTTTTGGGTTCTTTTTCTTTTTCTTTTTTGCTACCTTGGGTCACACTTTTTCTCCTTGCGTTAGAATGCTTGGCAAACACAGCCGGCGAGAGAGCTGGCTCTCGTCCGCATATTTACATTTCCTAGTCCTAGCATGTCTGTCTCTTTTCGTGTTTGTCCCGTTTTTGTGATTTCAGGGCCATGGGGTATTATCTGTTTACCGGGGAGGAAAACTACTTGTATGAGGGAAAAGAAAACGGGTTGGGATGGGAAGGCCTTTGTCACAAGATGCATTGGGATCGGCCAAACACATGTTCAGACATAAACATCGGTTGCCTTTTTATATCATCTCTCGGAATGACGCATATGAGCAAACTGATGTAACAATACTATTTTATCCAACCCTTTCTATTTGCTATTGGAGGACTGTGCATGACATGCCTATGTGTTATAAACTTGATTCTATATTCATCATTAAGTGCACTACGGAGCCTCCCAGTACTTACGGCACTATCTGAAACGGCTATTGCGGAAAGACTGAGAATTTCCATTATGCAATACATTTCGTACCTGGCCCTTTTACGTCGTGCGATTTTGACGCGTCTCCTGACCATTCGCCTACCCAGTACCCCAACCTAAGCGTAATTGATTCCATTACAAAGAAATTTTGCCCTCGCTATGCGCCCAAATGCAAAACCACTATATATATCCCTTGTTCTCGTCGTCTTCAAGTACCCGACGCTTTGGAAAGCACCGATTTAGCCCCCACTGCTTTCGACAGCGCAAACTAGATCAATCCTTTTCTATTAGGAAGTGTTGAGCTTGGCCGCCGCGTTGGCGAGGGAGCCGCTGCCACGGCTGCTAAAGATGCCCATGATGCCGAAGCCGACGTAGAACAGGGCGAGTGGGTAGGCGACGAGCGCACGCATGCCCTTCATGCGGCCAACGGCGCAGAACATGCCGCTGGCGCTGTAGGTGCTCCACATGATGGCGAAGCTGGTGAGGATGATGCCGAGCGGGGTGTCCATGGGCATGACGACGCCAAACATGCTGGTAACAACGAGAGGCAACAGGCAGTAGCCGAGGACAGAAGCTGAGCGCGGAAACGTCAGCGTGGCGGAGAAGTGACCACCGTGCTGCGATGGGCCGCGACCGGCGGGGGGCGGGGGCGGCGCCTCGCCGCCGTACTGGCCGTGGAAGGAGGAGGCATCGTCGCCGGCGGCGGGCGACATGAGGGAGAGGATCATGTGCAGCGATGTCGAGCCGAGTAGGGCAAGGCCGTAGATGTAGCCAAAGTGGACCTTGCCAGAGAAGAGCAGGAAGAAGCCGAAGAGGAGGAAGAAGAACATGGGACCAAACAGATCCGAGTCGTCCATGATATGCTGGTCAATGTGTCGAAAGGGATTCAATACCGCGAGCGTCTAGGTTGTACAGTATCGCAGATTAGTAGGAGGTTCTTGTCTTGCCTCTGCCTATCGGGTTGAAAACATACCTTGGATTGGATGTGGCCAAAGTTGACACCTAGCTCCTCTAGCAGCGGCGGTTCGCCGTCATAACCCTCGGTGGAAAAGGCCGCCAGCCAGCCTGTACGCAGACCGCCGTGCTCGCCCATGCGGCCAGAGACGCCGCCCGGGACGCCGCCAAAGGCACTCGACGAGAAGCCGTTGGACGCGCCGCCGGCGGCGGCCCCGAAGCTGCTGCTGCTGGCACCACCGCCCATGTTGCCCGCTGGGTATCCGTACGCGGCTTGCTGCGGCGTCGCGGCGCCCGAGACGCCCGCCGGCGCGTAGGTCGAGGGGTAGAACTGGAGGTTTTGCGCGCCGGCGCCGGCGACATCGCCGCCGTAAGGGGGCGGCGCGGCGCTGCCCTGCCCGTAGTAGTTGGACATTTGGGGTGGTTTGTGTGCGCGCGGAGCTGTGTGAGGGGCGTTTGCTGGACGGGTTGGAGCTCGATTCGATGAGCGATTCGTAGAGGGAAAGCGAGCGCGGGAGGGAGGCGAGATGGAAATCGGTGACGCTGCCTTGGCGGATCGAGGACAGCTTGCGAGCTTTGGTTGGAGACTCCTGAGTCTTGACTGAATTGGCCAGGTAGCTTCAAGACCCACATTCGCTCAAGTAGTCACTGCCTGGGAGGACCACGCAACCAGATCCGGTCGTTTACGTGGTCCATTACGGACCTTTTACTGCAGTAATTCGGGGAAATTGAATTGCTTGATTAAAATTCCTATAGGGCAGATTTTGTGCAATGATACTAACGTAAACGTAGAAACGGTGTGTAAAGTTCATCCACAAGTTGCCTTCACAAGTGCTCATGCCCGTCAAAGTTCCTGGAGCATCGCCACTTCGGTGTTCTCACGCCCGCATAAAATTATTTCCTTCGGACTCCCAAAGAAGCGGCAGTTGATCTCGCGCTCGCGGCAAATCTGTCATAATCTTGTACCAACTCGGGAAACGGCTTCAAAATCTCCATGACCTGGGCGCGAAGCTCAGAAACACGCGTCTGACTATTTGGCTTGGACATGGCTACCGACAGATCATGCGTAGTCTGAATTACGGTATCGAAATCGTCTTTGCGGAGTGTAGACTAGTTATTACAACGACATTGAGTGTCAGAATGGTAGGCAGCCAAGGCAGGAATGACTGGGTCAAGTCGCGCGAACCTGGCATTTGTGACCATAACGGGCCACAAAGAACATTGTGTCGTCGGCATACCCGGGTACCCCGAGCAGGGCGTCATTGAGGTCCCGCGCACGCTTTGCGCCGTCGTCTGTTGACATTTTCACGATGTTTGTAAATATTGTTTCGTAGCACAGAATCCAGAATCGCAGTGGCAGCCTAGTACAAGCGAGGCTGAGACCACACACGGTAGATGTGGCCCACCGACACCTAAGGTCTTACAAACACAGGTACAAAAGCTGTCGTACCTTGGGGCATTCCCACCTTGTGATTTTGACTTATACACAGTAAATAAAACTGCCCTTCTCTAGACGTTAAAAAAAAAAAGTTATCAACTGTTTACGTCTTGTCGCTTGTCGGCTGTCGATGTTGCGTTGCAGTCCGAACGCATGGAAACAGCCTTGATGAGTAAGCAGAGATCGGCACGTTCCTTCCAATTCGGTACCGTTTTTTTCTTCGCCGCCAAAATTCAACGCCGCCCAATGATCGCGGACGATAAACCCGTGATAATCATACACGCCGGCGTCGCAACCCCAAAGGCACAAGATGCCACGCAATCCGCCCCGTCGCGATGGCAGTAACTGCAGGCCGGACAATAATCGCAAGCCGCACAGCAGTCGCTTTCGACCTCGTGATGAACCGCCCAGGAATCGCGACAACTGGCGACCCAATCCCTCATATCCTGACCAAAGAGATCGCGGCGGCCCCAGGTCAAGAGCTAATGGCGACAGACCTCCGCAGTCCGATAACTTTTATGCGCCCCCCCAAGGAGACTTTACATTTCGTATGGATAAGCCAGCAGGTGTTGGCGAGTCAAGTCCTGACCAGCGACGCGATGGGCGGCGAGACCAGCGTCGGCCCCCGCGAGGGCGTCCAGGCCGAAAATGGCAACCACCACCACCTCCCTCCGAGCGTGCTTTGATATCTGGTGCGACCCTAAATCTACCTGAGGAGCGGCTCGACGGCGTGGATGGGCCAAATAAATTTCGTGACCTGGATGAACTCTCAGATGATGATGAGCTTGCTATGGACATTTCGTCACATTCCGAAGAGGAAGGCGGCCAGGAACCATCGGCGAAAAGGCAGCGAACAGATGCCCTCGATGAGAGTGCCGCAGAGGCACCTCAGTGGTCCAACCCGGACCCCTACACTGCACTGCCATGTCCTGACGACGTCACAAAAAAGAAGCGCGACGTCGTCAAGTTGATTCGCAAAGCTCGTATGGAGGAAAGGGAAAAAGTCGGGGCACCGGCGCAGGCTGAGGACTTTTTGTCCTTTGATCCGACCGAAGATGAAGACGAAACTAGCGAGGAGTCTGAATCTGAATCTGATCCGGCATCCGAGGCCGATTCTGAACCGCCTCCTCCAAGTCTACCAGCTGCATCGGTGCCAGTAAATGCGGCTTCGTCAAATTCCCTGCCGTCACGGCCCGTTTTTGGAGTAACCGCTGCTGCCAGCACATCCGACCCTCTTGGATCACGAAAGCGGACAATTGATGATGAGATTAAGCCTCCCAACTATGGCCAATTCAAGAAGGCGGGTGCCAGACCTGCCAAAGGCTCCATCGCGGGTGCATGGCTGACGAAGAAGGACGAAGAACCTTGTCCCTGGGCTACGGTAGACCACAGTGCAACGTCAGACATGGCATTCCGCCTTCACAAAGAAGTCATTGATTTCTATGAGTACGTCCGGCCGCGGGAGTTTGAGCAACGCATTCGGGATAATCTCGTCGACAATCTGAAGAAGGCCATGCGCCGCGATGGCAGAAACTTTGCGAGTGCTCACGTCTTTCCATTCGGCTCATTTATGTCGGGGCTCTATCTTCCCACTGCGGATATGGACATCGTTGTTTGTTCAGCAAGCTTCATGCGAGGCGGCCCGCCAACATATCTTGGTGCCAAGAGCTGGCTCTACAAATTTCAAAAGTTCCTGGTCACCCAGAGAGTCGCCGATAATGATGCAATCCAAGTCATCGCCCATGCGCGCATACCTCTGGTGAAGTTTGTTGACAAATTTACTGGCCTGAGAGTCGATATCTCTTTTGAGAATCTCGGTGGCGTCGATGCCGTCGAGACTTTCGTCAAGTGGAAACAGCTTTACCCCGCCATGCCTATCCTGGTCACTGTTATCAAGCATTATCTACTCATGCGCGGCCTCAATGAACCGGTGAACGGTGGAATTGGTGGATTTTCCGTCATTTGCTTGGTGGTTAGTATGTTGCAGTTACTGCCACAGGTTCAGAGCCGAACTCTAGTTCCCGAACACAATCTTGGGGAGATGTTGCTCGAATTCTTTCATCTCTACGGGCATCAGTTTGATTACGAGGTGAATGCTATTTCTCTCACGCGGCCGGTCGGCTATGTCAAAAAGGTAAGTCATGACGGAGAGCACATGACTTGAAACTCAGCTGACCTTGCAATGCATAGTCCGACGTTCGTTCATTTGCCTACAAGAGCACAGACAGACTTTCAATCATTGATCCAAACAACTCTGGAAACGACATTTCTGGGGGCTCTTCCAACGCATCAACGATCTTGGCACGCTTTGGCGACACATTCCATTCACTTCGCGAAAGAATGGAAGAAGTTTCGCGGGACCGTTCCTGCGGTGGTATACTCGATGTCATTATGAAGGGTGATTACTCATCCTTCCGAATGCAGAGAGCTTTCTTGAAGAAGGTTCACCAACAGTTCCTCGGGCCTTGCTCGGACTGAACGGGTCGAACCCGTGTTTACGAATTCGCTTCGCTGTACAAATATTCATGCTGTCTCTTCCGCAACTTGAGGCTGACCAGCACTGACGACGTGACGTGGCTAAGGTTTGATATGGTTATCAATACGAGGAGTATGGAAAGTAGGCGCTAGGGGTTCTATTACGTTATTCGGATGCTGCTTCGCAGTCGAGTTGTACGAGCGGTTCGATTGTCTCTTCGTGTTGTTCCGATACCCATGGGTTAGCGTTGTTGGACAAGCGTCTGGCACGAAATTTGACGATTGCAACTTTTTTCTTTTCTTCACCTTTTCATTACCTGCTAACCCTTGCAGTGACACGTGGTGACCGCCGATACCATTGACCCCTGTTTTAGGAATATTCTTGTCTCCTGCCAGCATAACAACGGCTTCCTTGTTGGCCGTTGCTCAGAGATGATGATTATCGTGGCTCCCAAGAGCCACACATTTTTCTCTCACTGCATCTCTTGCTATATGTAAGGATGTGGAGAGGGAACAGCACATGACTGTCTGTCGGAAGTCTGAATGGACTGAAATTGATTGAGTTGCGCGAAGTATCTAGTAAGTATGTTTGATGAACGAGATTGGGGTTCTTTGATGATATAGTACAAGTAATACAAGCGCTGACGGCGCTATAGTTCCAACTTTAGTCGATGACAAAACTATACAATTCTGTCACCGTCTCGTGGCCAATTTTCTGGAAGAACGGATGCTTCGACTTGTTGATACTGGCTTCAACAATTTTGCGCGTCAAGTGGCACATTTCGTTGCTGTGCCTGGACATACCAGTCTTCATTAGTGCCGCCGTGCCGAGTTCTCTCGTCAGGTCGCCCCAAAGCTCCTGCCAGCGGGCCAGGGCGCGTAGCAGCGCGGACGCGGTGAAAGGCATCATGGACATGATGTCGGCGGTAATTGCGACGTTGCTCAGAGCTGCGTGTTCTGCATTAGCCTGGATCGTGATGGGGAAAAGATGTCGGACGAAAAGAAAGGAGAAGAATACGGCGATCCAGATTGCGATATACAACAAGAAGAGGACGGGCGGGCAGAAGAGAGGTGTTGCGTACCAACAATGGCGGTGGTGAGGTTGTAGATGTTGTAGGAGTCGCGGGGGCACTGCTCGACGCGGTTCCAGTTGTCGGCCATGAGGATGTCGATGAATTCGCGGATATTGGATTGCGCGGAGACCGAAGAGGACGAGGCGGAACTGGTGGTGGACGCCGGCGACTGGTGAGTATTCGAGTTGCGCTTGCTGTCGGCTACGGCAACAACAAATTCGGCGGCGTCGGCGGCATCCCAGACGGCGGGCGAGCATGGATGATTACAGTTGAGTTCGACGGTAGCCATGACGGGCATGCATCGAAACATGCCGCACTGGTGCCAGTCGGCTACTGCCGTCCATGTCGCGACGCTGAGCAAATGGCGTGTTAGTTTAAAAGGTGCCAGAGGAACGAAACTTGACCGATGACGTACCGGATACAGGTTTCGTGGTAGACGAATAGCTGCCAGTCCTCGCCGGGCACATGGCGCACGTTCAAGAGGTCCAGGTGGCGCACCGCCCACGCCAGCTCTGGGATGCGACGCACGCGGCTCTGCCGCCTCGACGACACGCTATTGTTGATGACGAGCAGGTAGACGATGACAAGCGCGGCCTGGAGGGCCTCGAGCGCGGGCGTCGCGGGCAGGCGCGTGGTGCCGACGGTGGCGGCAGCGGCGAGGGCGCAGTGCAGCGCGCGAAAGACATACTCCTCGGCGAGGCGCAGCAGGCCGCGCACGACGACGACGTCGTCGAGTGGCGGGCTGCGAAAGGCGCCCTGCACCACGAGGCTCAGCAGCAGCGCGCACGACGACGTCGACCGGAACGAGGCCATGTGCACAATGGGAAAGTGCACGTGGCTGAGCCGGAAAAAGGTGCCGGCGAAGCGCTGCAGGTTGCTCGCGGACAGGGCGCTGCCGACGGCGCGCGCGTCAAATGGCTCGTGGTAGGTGGCGTCGCTGGCCGCGAGCTCGGCATGCAGCTCGTGAAGCGCGTTGACGAGCTGCAGTGACGTGTCCTGCATGCCCTCGGAGGAGGACGGGCCGGAGAAGCCCGGAATAGAGGGGACGAGGTCGTCGTGGTCGGAGAGGGACAGCATGTTGATGTCATCGGCGTCGTCAAAGTTGAAGAGCGCGTCGTCGAGCATGGTGCCGTAGCTCCATGGGTAGAGCGCCGCCATCAGGTCGGGCACGTCGGGGGATGCGTGCGACTGCGACTGCGCCGTCGCCGTCTCGCCGCCGGACAGGAAGCTCATGTCCGGGATGCGCTCCGTCATGCCGCTCGTGTCGTTGGCCATGTTCTCCAGCATCGAAGTCGCGCGCGGGTCGATGAGGTTCTTGATCCAGCGCATGCTCTCTTCCGCGCGGGGGCCTTTGGCGCTCCTCGGGCTGTTGCTGCTGCTGGTGCTGCTGCCGGCGGACTGCGACGAGCCGTGGGACTGTTTCGACCCCTCCGGCGCGGATGGCGAGGCGGACTGGAGAGCCTCGTCGGTGACGTCCCGTGGGTGGCAGGGGAGATGCCGGAGGAGACAGCGGCTGCATGGATGGTTTTTGTCGCAGGACACTTTGCTGGCGAAGCAGGCCGCGCAGGCTCGGGGCTTTCGTCCGCGGCGAAGCTCGGGAAGGGCGGCCTCGGTGTCCTTTTTGAGGCAGTGGAACATGTGCTTGCGGCATACATCTCTGTGAGAGTGAAGGGTGCGTTAGGAAAAAAGGGTTGAGAGAATGGGGTGTGTGTAGGAGAACTTGCCCTCGCCCAAACTCCTTGTCACAGTATCGGCAGCGAAACTGGCCTGTGGCGGCATCTAGGACGACATGAGTGTCGGTTTGTGGAAGTGTGGCCGCGTGGAGCGAGAAGGGGAGCGTCGCGAATAGGATCATGCTTGAGGGAGCGAGTGTAGGGAGAGAAGAGAAGGGGGGATGTGATGGTGGGCTAGAAGTATATGGAGTCGGGGTAGAGCCCTGGCCAAGGAGCTCGACATATACGGTACTTGACCCACGTCCGAGACCCTGTCTGCGGACAAATATAGGGGTGGGATTGGATCAAAATGGTGCATAACTTACGTGTGGCTTCGTGGCGACGGAGGTGGGTGTTTCTCTGATAACGTCTCCCGCACGTCGCGCAGGCATACGCTCTGGCCGCGGACGGTGCCGAGTCGTCCCTAGGCTCGCCTTGGCTATTCTCCGGATTGACAGCCATGACCTCTACTTTGCAAGAGCCCTACAGCTTATTCCCGCTACACAAAATAAAAAAAAGTAGGCAACCAAGGGCGTCGAGCGTGCTGATGCGGTGGGTTTTCCGAGAACAGGATCAAGGGTTTTGGCAGTGTAAGAGTGTGGGTTTTCGCCGGCCGGAGCTCTTGGAGGTGGGTTTTTTCCTGGCGGGGAGAGATGGGTGGGGCCGTGCTGTTCGGGCCGGTCCCGGGGGAGGGCGAGCCGGGTATTTATATTGACGTAGGCAGAGGCCCTCGGTATGAACGAATGACAAAAAACTACTACGATAAGTTCTACATTGGGTATGAATCGGGCGAGACGCAGAGAGGCTCGTATGCCCGAAAGGAGATGCAACATGCGGGATGGAGAGAGCCGGCGGAGAACGGACCATCGCCGACTGGCTGGCCACCCGCCGAGGGGACCCGAGTAAGAGTCAGGAGCCCCGACATTCAAGACATTTTTGGGCTGAATCGTCACTGTCGCATATTTTCTGTGTCTTTTCTTTTCGTTGATTCACACTCCTTGCGTACGACTTGTCCAGCACGGTCGCATTCGACGCAGGCTACTTCTCTTCCGCTAGCTGGATACAGTATCTCACTTGGGAGACGAAAGCATCACTTTTCACAGCCTACCTGAAATCTCTTTGTTCGATCCGGATAATCCAGCTGGCTGAATAGATGACTTTGAGCCTGCCGTCTCCTGGGCTAAAGAAAACAGCGAGGAGATGGGCTACAGAGCTTTCAGTACAAGAACCAGATGGTGCTGCTGACAGCATGTCGCCATTGAGCAAGGCTAGCTCTGCCCGAAAGCGATAATCTACCGGCTAATCCAAACCAATAGCGTATATACGTAAGGTGATTTCTTTCTCTCCTAGCACGAGGTATGGGGAACCCATGCTACTATTGGCAGACCGCGCCCTATCATGTGAGTCTTACTGTGCAAAATTCTGTCAATATCGCGTCCCAACCTTGTCAAAAGTGCGTCCCACCACGCTTTTATGTCATGACGCAATGTACTATTGGTAGTGCATGGGCTAGACCTGGTTGCTAAGAGCGCCAACCAACAAGTTCTTGTGTAGCGGCATCGCCAGGCACAAAATCGGAAACCTCAGACACATCAATATTACTAGCAAATGCGCGGTCTGTACGGTAGTGCAGAAAATGTTGAACTTATTAGACATGAAAACACAATGACCTAGCCAGTCCTCTGCGTGCCAGCCAATGAGCAAGCGTAGCTACACCGTGCGTTCCCTCTCAAGACGCGCTCGCAAGGTTTTCAAACGCGTTCAATGGCTTATATTATGCTTTCAAGTAGCGTGCAATTCGGCGGCCATATCAGGACACGTATGCCCTCGATGATTTCTTACTTGTTCCACCCGTCAAACTGCAAGACATCCCAGCAAGATGAAGCTTTCCGTCTTTGGAGTGGTGGCTGCCGTACTGATTTCCGCATCCGATGCCTCCTCGAACGTCACCTATGGCAGAGGCTCACCTGGCTGCGGCAAAAAGGTCAAACACCTTGGCTCCGAATACTTTGTGCCCAAGTGGAATGTCTCGGGCGTCTGGCGTCAGTACCGGACCTACACGCCCAAACATTACGAAAAGGACAAGCCGGTGCCGCTGCTTCTGGCCTTCCATGCCAATGCCAAGCCGCAGCCGAGATTTGCGATGCAGTCTCGCTTCTCCGATCCGACAATCAACCCCAATATGATGGTCCAGTACATGATCGCTTACAAGGTACGCATCCCCGCCGTCCAGCATTGCCAAACCCCTCGCACAGTGGCGCGGAACAAACTACTGAACAAAAGGCCCAAATGTTTTCAGAAACGCTGGGTTGGTCCCACGTCCGCGCACAAGGATGCCAACGACATTGAGTTTGTCGCAAGGGCGCTCGAGGTCCTCATGAACAACTACTGCATCGACGTGGACCGCGTGTTCCTGACCGGGCACGCGGGCGGCGGCGGCCTCGCCAACATCCTGGCGTGCCACCCGCGGCTCAGCAGGCACTTTGCCGGCATGGCGCTCATGGGGCCGACGCTGTACCAGGACCTCAACGACGACTTCTGCAAGGGCGCGCGGCTGCCGATGCCCGTGCTCGAGGCGCACGGCCTGCTGGACGAGACGTCGCCGTACTGGGGCGAACCCGCGCGCACCGTCGGCGCCGTGCCGGCCGTGCTCGACTGGCTCCGCCGCTGGGTCCGCCGCAACGACTGCGACCCGGTGCCGCGCCGGTCGCACCTCGTCAAAAAGGCCGTCGTCTCGCACAAGTACACGTGCCAAGGCCAGTTTGGCTTCGTCGAGCACATCACCGCCGCCAGGCAAAACTACAACTGGCTGACCACCAAGAGCGCCATTGACATCTCGCCCGTCATGATCGACTTCTTTAACCGCTGGGTTCGCCCGGGGAACCTGAGCATTCCGCTCGACGCCAAGGGTAGGTTCGTGGTTGACGAAGGTCCCAAGAAGCCAAAGCACACCTCGACTAAGCCCACCCGCACCCGCTCGCGCCGCCCCACGACCTTGAAAACCTCTACTCGCCCCAGTCGCACCTCGACCAGTACTTCGCCCATGCCTACCAAGACCAAGAAGCAGGCGTCCGGACGCGGGGAGCCGACTTTTGCCACCTTCGGGGTCGATATAGTCTCTACGCCCCCCGAACCGTCCCGGACAAAGGAACAGCCGTCTAGACAGGGTTGGCCTACGTTTGCCACATGGGGGGTCGATATCGTCTCTACGCTCCCCGAACCGCCGCGGACGACGTCTGGACGCGGTGAGCCGACTTTTGCCACATTCGGTGTCGATATAGTCTCTACTCTCACCGAACCGCCCCAGACTAGCCCTACTACCACGACCCAGTAAGAAGAGACAATGGCTTGTGGCAACTAGTGTGGCAGATTTGAGAGGGTTGTTTTGCGAGGCTTCTTCCTTTCTTATGTAAATAGTTTGGACACTTGAATCTAGTAGAGGCTTTTTTTGGGAATTAGTTAGCGTTACTAATAAAAGACAAAAAATAAAGAAGGGATAAAGTAATCAAACTAGATTCTAGATCGCGCGTGACAGCAGTCATTGTTGTAAAATGCATCATGCAGGCCCTCGCACATGATGGTGACGGTCCTCGAGCACGCCACTCATAGCAGGGAAGATGTGCGGCTGGTCCGGGAATGTGGTGACTCGGGCCTGCACACCAGCCCGCGTCAGCTTGGCGGCAAAGGCCTCGCCCTCGTCGCGCAGCACGTCGAGGCCGGCGACGATAATGACGGCCGGGGGCAGCGCGGACCAGTCGCCGTGCCAGAGCAGTGGGCTGGCCTCCGGGTCGGCCCAGTCGGCCGCGCCGCGCTGGGGCAGATAGCAGTTGCGGAACCACAGCATCATGTCAGCGGAGAGCGCGGGCGAGTGCTGAAGGTCGCGCCAGCACTCGTTATTGTCCACGGTCCGCGTGTTGTCCGTTACAGGGATGTTGAGGAGCTGCGTTTTGATGCGCGGGCCACCGCCGCGGGCAGCCGCCGATGCCGCGCGCTGGGCCATGACGGCGGCCAGGTTGCCGCCGGCTGAGGATCCGCCGACGGCAAGGTTGTCCGGGTTGATGCTGAGCCGGGCCTTGCCTTTGGAGGCGACCCAGAGGAGCGCGGCCCAGGCGTCATCCACGGCGGCGGGGAATGGGTGCTCCGGGGCCAGTCTGTTGCATTGCCGTTCTTGTCAACACAACAGTCATCGGGTGGCTACGGAGGAGCTTGCCTGTAATCGACGGACACAACCACGCACTTGGCGCGCGTGCAAATGTTGGTGAGGATGTCCGACTCGGAATCGAGCCCGCCAACCGTCCACCCGCCGCCGTGGTAAAAGACAAGGACCGGCCACCCTCCGCTGGGCGCGGAGCCAGGCGGGGTGTAGCAGCGGGTCGGTATTGTCAGGCCCTTGGCCGGGCCCGCGTCCGGCGTGATGGAAATATCCTCCTTGTTTCCGACCGGAACCTCGGGCCCGCAGCCGGGAAACGGGCGACGGGGAATGGAGCGAATCACGTCAATTGGAATCGTATGGAGCTTAGGGACGGCGATGGCGTTTTCATTGTAGTAGGCCTTGTACTCGGGGTTCAGGCGGTGTTCTTGTGATGGATGGATGGGATACAGCTTGCGCGGCATCGTGATGCTCTTGTTCAGTTCCCTAATGCGTTTATGTCATTCTTTACAGAGCTGGCACAAATTGGGAACCCCCGGGCTATATGACTTTATGAGACGGAGCTTAGTTAGCGGGTTGATCCTGGGGCTTAAGCCGAGCCGGCAGATGGGCTTAATCGGACCGGGGGTAAAGCAGCGATAGGGTAGGTGCCTCGGCACAATCTGACCAATACAACTTACGCTTGCCGTGAATTTCTGCATGTTGATGGAGCCTTGATAAACGCAATGGCTTCTAATCGAGGAGAGGCGGCAACAGACAAGTCATGCAACCATGCCAGCCCGAAAAAGAACGCAGCAGAAGAAGGCCTAATAAGTAGTGCAAACATGGAACTCCAGTGGGCCACTTACCTTTGACATGATAATAATTCAGGTCAGAGACCCCGTTTTACCCCATGTTCCGCGCTTTGGCATTCAGAGGGCGCGACGCCCGGTTGCGCAGGGAGGGGCAGAGTTTGGAGGGGTTTGGAGGGGCAAAGGTGCTAATAATACAATAATATTTTGTTAAGGGGCGATATGTAAATAGTGAGGGGAAAGCTGCGTGTGAGTTTGTGGGGGGTTTCATCTTCTTTCCAACACAACACCGTTTAACTTGCGTCACACGACAATTTCTTGCACGTGGTATAAATCCCTCGTCGAAAAAAAAAGGGAATCAATTTTCCATCCAATTCCTCAAATCCTGTCCTTCAATTCCTACCGCAGACGATACCATGTCGTCATTGTCCTACTATGCTGCCGCGCCCCGAGAGGCACTTGTTTCCGAGTACGTCGGAAAGTCGATCCGAGACGTGCCTACGCCGGCCGCCATCATCAACGTCGCCGCGGTGCGCAGAAATTGCAGCCGCATGCTGGAAGCTTGCAAGAGCCTTAATCTGGGGTGGCGAGCGCACGTCAAAACGCACAAGGTTTGTTCCGGCCTTTGGCAGCGCTGTTGGGCGAGCCCCATACTGACTTGCCTTTTTTGTAGACGGTAGAAATCACCCGTTTGCAAGTCGGCGACGATGCCTCGTTCCCGGTCAACCTCATCATTTCTACCCTGGCTGAGGGAGAATTTCTGCTACAGACTCTGAAAGAGTACAAGTCCCAAGGTCGGCAAGTAAATGTATGTCACTGGGAAACACAGGAGACCGAGAAGCAATGGCTAATCTATGTCGCCTACGCAGGTTCTTTACGGCCTGCCAATCACCGCAAATGCCGTCGATCGTCTTGCTGCCATTGCCAGAGCGCTTGGCGACGGCTCAGTCTCGATTCTTCTCGACGACCCTGCCCAGCTCCCCGTCGCGGCCAAGCTCCGCCAAGCCAGCGGCGTCGCCCCGCGCGCCTCGATCAAGATTGACATGGGCGGCAAGCGAGCCGGCGTCGTCGCTGACAGCGATCGCTTCCTCGAGGTGGCCACTGCCGCCCTCGAGGCGCACCGCAACGGCGACATCGTCCTCGCCGGCCTCTACTCCCACGCCGGCCAGTCCTACGGCGGCGATTCCCGTGCGGCCGCCATCAAGATGATGGGCGCCGAGATTAGTGCCATGATGGTCGGCGCGGACAGGATCAAGGCGCGCGCCGCCGAGCAGGGTGTAGCGAACCTGCCCGCCCTCATCCTCTCGGGCGGTGCCTCGCCCACCGCCCTGTCCGTCCAGAACCTTGTGAGCCATGGCGAGACACAGGCAACCTCCACGCCCGAGCTGCAGACCGAGGTGCAGAGCCTGACGGCTCTCTTCGGCGCCGTCAAGAGCAGCGGCCACGTGGTGGAGATCCACGCCGGCGTCTACCCGACGCTGGATCTGCAGCAGCTCGCCGCGCACAGCATGTCGGCGTCGCGACTGTCGTGGGGGGACATTGCGCTGAGCATCCTCGCCGAGGTGCACGGCACGTACCCCGGGCGCGGCGAGGGCGGCACGCCCGAGGCCCTCATCGGCGCGGGCGGCCTGGCGCTCGGCCGCGAGTTCTG